GAAGGATTTCATCTCTGTCTAGTGCAGTATGAGAAATAATACATGATTTTTTAAACTTATTTTTATTTTCATTTCTTTTTTATTTTAAAGAGTTTTACAAATACACTGTCCTCTAAGAAATCATGAATAAAAAGCATCTATTTCAGAAATACAATTCTTAGGACCTCTCTCAAAGTAAGGAGATTGTCAATATAATACAAAGTAGATTATTTGAGCCAGTCTTCTGTGCAATGAAGTTGTAGATAACAGTTCATTACTTGGTGAAGAAATCTTCCTTGTACCCACATTGACTTATTTTACTTTTTTGCCATCCATTTCATTTAGATAAAGGGGTTTTAATGTTAGAGAAGATTTTTGCAACTAACAGTTTGTTGCAGAAAACAAGGCAAGCTGTAGAAAAGCAAAAAGAATACAAAGAACACAAAGTTATACCAGAATTAGGGATGAACTAATCAGCAGGATTGATGATACTAAACAATCACGTTGAAGAAACAGAATTTTCCAAGGGAGATAATCATAGCCTGTAGTGTGTTCAGGAAAGCAAGGTAAATGGAAGAGAACTAATAATTCATACTTCTGTGAAGCTAGTGGTGCAAGGATAAGAGCCTGAAGCCGAGGAAGGAAAAGCTTAAGACAGAATTTTGGAAGATTGTAGCAGTTAGAAAAGTGTTGTGAGGCACAGGGATGGAGGTAGTAGTCGAGTTCTTTTCAAATATGGGATGAGTAAGTCCATCAAGTGCAAACACTACGTGGATGATCCTAATAGTCTCTCAGTGTCTTTCTATGATTTTTTGTGTGTGATTATGCACTCTGATTTAGTGCAAAAATATCCTCTGCAGTATACACACTGTATGTGTGTGCAGCCTTTAAGTTACAAAGATGCGTAGGACAGAGTGAATCCACTGACTCATAGATTTGGTAAGTAAAGGAAGGGGTGATATTTCTGAAAATGTTAGTAGAGCTTATTTTGGATTGTCTGATCTGAACTTACCTACTGGGCACAGAAGCTTCCAGCAATGGGAACTCCCTTAAAAATGGTCAGTAATCCTCTACTCCCTGCCTTTTTTGTTTTCTTTCTTTTTGTCAAGGTAAATTGAAGAGAGATTTGAAGAGGCCTGCACAGAAAAGTATTATCAAATGTGAGCAAGCGATAGGTAATTCTAACAGATCTAACAGATGCTGCCTCTCCAGAAGGATTTGGGGAAAAAAAATAGCTTTGGCGTCCCTGCATTTGCTTCTGTGTGTAATTATGGGAAATGCATTCATGTGCAAGGGTATCATTGTTGTCCTGCTGTTTTATCATTTCTTTATGAGATAATGTTGATTTCAGCAATGAAATGCAAATTTAGTTTACAGTGCTCTTTTCCTCTGTATAAAGGTTAAAATGCATATTGTAGATAATACTGTCGGTGGTGCTTTTGAAACGGTCTTTGTCAGCTGTATGTGGTTCTAAACGCTGTTGAATGGAGCTGCATGAGTTTGATGTTGGCCTACATGAATTAAATTTAACCTGACATGCATGTTGTTATCATTTGGGATATAATTTGGCCAAGCCATCACATAACCTTCGTACCAATAAAAAAAAAATGGATGTGCCGAGTATATTTAACACACAGTTTTCCTACTGAGTGTTATGGCAAGCTGAACATACAATTACTGAAGTTGAGCCATTTTAAGTCCGTAATCATAAAATTCTTATAACACAGGGGGTTAACGAATACTCATAGTAGTGTAGATGCTAATGAATTCTGTGTTTGGAGGGTACATTTCTGTTTACTTATAAACAAATAGTTTGTATTGCTGGTGATGAAAGGGCTCAGAATTTTAACAAGTTCTGTTACAATTAGGCTCAGTCTAGGTTATAGGCAGCTCCAATTAATAAATGCCAAGACTCCAACAGCAATAAAACACAGGCAAGAATGTAAAGAGTTTTCAGCTTGCAAAAGAGTTCGAGCATAACAGCAAAGCTAGTACTAAGGGAAGTTGTCTTTTTTATTGTTATCTCTTTAGTTTATCTCTCTTTCCTGTGTAAACTGCTGGGCATTGTGCAAAGAGAGGGTGTGTGTTGACTTTGGTGACATTGTGTTACTGCCATTAAATAACTCTGTACAACGAGTTTCCTTCACTGTGGCTGTACTTCTAAAGAATATTTTTTTCCCAAACCACATGAGCCAAATAATGGTTCATAATTATTAACAAATCCCTTTTCTAGTTTAGTGGTACAGCAGTAAATCTTCTGTCATGGGTAGTAAAAAGATGACATAAAAAGGAGCATGAGTTTTATAAATGTGCTTTGTATTAAAAAAAAAAAAAAAAAAGGTAGAGAGAGGGTTTTATGAAATTAGGTGTTTTATTGTAGAAAATAATGGAAAATAGCTCTGAAAATCCTGAGTTGGAGTAATGAGAGAGTAATGTCTAAAGTTTATCAAAACTGGAAGAACTCCTGATGCGAAATGAAGCCTCCCAAGAAAATTCTGTTCGGCGGCTGTTTTGCTCTGCTGTTGTCGCATGTCGTGCATGAATGAAAATGCTGCATTCTCCAGGGAGCGGTAGAGCCTCTGTGTAGGTTGTTTATTTCCTTAATCCCTCCTTCTTCATGATTTTCAATGTCAGATATAAAATGGAAAGCCTGTAAATACAGTGATTATCATACTGATTATCACCTGCATTAGGGAACGCCCCCGCTGCCCGCCGTAACCTTAGCAGTCTCCACATGTTACAGCCACTTAGATTTTAACCTGACTACTTTATTAGATATGTGAAGCTCAGTGTGAGGTGCCCTAGGGCTGCACAGATGGGGTCTGCTTGTTTCCTGTTCTCACTGTTACTGTGAAGAGATACTAAAAGGTTCTCATCGCTTTTATCTGGTTAATTTACTTTGAACTGTCCCTGGTATTCAAGACCTGCCTGGCATTTCTCACCATTTTGCAAACACCAAACTGTAGTCTCCCAACATATGCTCTGAACTTTACTATCCTTTTTACAAGAATGGCCTTAATTCTTAAAAGGGTGTTTTTCTGAGACGTGCCCATTGCGAGGGAGCTGTGGTGGAGATGGCTCAGGAGGTGTTGGGAGGCTTGGCTCGTAGGAAACAAGACTTTTCAGATGACTTTTGGTTTTTGGCATGTGCAGGAAAATCTGGGATTGTACACTAGGTGATGTTATTCATGTGGCTGGACCAGACTAAGAGGGAGTATTCCAAAAAGAGATACTTTTTAACAAATGTGCAATCATTTATACCTTGCTGCAGAAGGGCCAGGTCTTTCCAACCACATGTGCTATGCATGGGTACCCCAATACAAAAAATTAAGATAAATTTTCCCAAAGTCTCCCACACAAGGAAATACTACTTAGCTTGAATACTTTTTTATTTCACAGATGTAAGAACGTACTGGTGTCCAGTTTCCCAGCCAAACAATAGTTTAACACAGATGTTAATGTCCTGTTGCACTGGGGCACTAAAGAAACTCTCTTAGGACAGTGCAGTGTAACTTCCAATTTCAATTGCATGACCAAAAACCCATGGTTAGAGAAGTAATTTGGCTCTAGTTCACAGTGTTTAGTTCATTTCCGTCTTCTCTGCACAGCTTATCGCTCCCTTAATTCTGTTGCTTTTGTTTTTTCTGTGTCCTAGCCCCATCCGAGGCTTGATTGTGCTGCAGTTCAGTGGAAGTGCAGCACTTCGCGGGGAAGCCCGCAGATTCCTTTTTTTCATATGAGCATAGGCTTTGTTAATCACATGCTGGCTTAGGAAAACACTGCATGATATCTTTGAACCCTACACTCCATCCTGACAGCCAGGCTAGCAAATGTCATTGACTGTGTGATGTAGAAGAAGGAATTCAATTGTAAGTAAATTGTCAAAGTGGCTAACCTTGCCCGCACCCAATTGTCAGGACCATGATTCAGTTTTTCTGTCAACATCAGCTCAGGCTAACCCGGTCAGCCTTATGTTTCTACAGCGAAGCAGCCTGAGGAGTTGTGCTTTTCAGCTTATCACATTTTATTAACCTCAACTCAATGTTGTTATAATCAATTGCACCCACTTCAGATTCTTATATTGCCCCCCAACTGGCAGATCATATAGGTCCACAAGTATGTATTTTCTCGAGTACTGCCTAAAAGCTGTCACGGGGAAGCTGGCAGTGTGTCTAGGCACACTCCCTTAAATGGCTTGGTGCAGTAGTGGATTTTATTTAGTTGGATCAACTCGCTAGTCTGACTCAAGTCTTATCCATCTATTAATATCACTTGGCAAAGAGGTTTGGAAGAACGCGAGTTACAATGTAAAGACTTTGATGTTGTCTGTTGCAGTGTTAAGGTAGAAAGTGAGTAAAGGAAAAAAACATCGCTATTGTCTTCTGTCTCCTTGCTTTTATTTCAAAACAGAGATTTTAATTGCTCCAATTAATATAAATAAGAAACGAGGACATTCTGATACTCTGATGTTTCCTCTGTTCTTTGAGGAAAAGAACATAGCTGAATTGCCTAAAGCAGTGATTAAGACACCAGAGTATTTTTAAATGCTCATCTGATTCCACCACAAAGGTTTGAACACATTTTGTGGTCTTATTTTTTTAAAGCACAGTAACGACATGATTTTTTAAATGGCTTAATAACCTATAGCCCAAGAAGTCTAACACATAAATGGAGATGTGATCCATTTTTAATTAGGAACATGTCTGAGGGAAATTCTCATGGATTTGAAGTAGTGGTTTCCTGATTGAAGTCCTAAATCCAGAAGTAACTTTCCTCTCCATGAAAAAAAGATATATTGCATGTTCCTAGCTGGGACTTGTGAAGTGTGTGGACATTGTTTTGTTGTTGGGCTCGAGGGAAGGAGGGGGAAGCCTTTGGTGCAACTATCAAAACCGAACAACTGTATATGGGCATATTGAGATAATCACGTAAAAGGAAAACTGGCCCAATGAGTTTCCAAATGTGTTATTTCTTCATTATCTAGCACTTTATAATTAACTGTTCTTTTTTTATTATTTCAGGAAGCTGCCACTTTTGCTAGAGAGCAAGGCTTTGAGGTGAGTTAACCCGCAATTGCACACTAAACAGATCCGAGAGGTTTTTTTCTTGCTGATAATGAAGTTCTTTTGGACAATGATTGATGTGCTATTATACTCTCCAAGCCTCGCAGCGGTTGCCATAGAAACTTGGCAGTCGTCATGGTTTCTTTGTTCTGCCAGCTCAGTGTTATGACGCACTCTGCTAGGTCTGCACCCAACATCGCCTACAGATGTTATTTATTGAATTTTGAAAAGCCTCTTGGGAAGCCGAGAGGTTGGGCACGGTTTCAAGCTGCCTCTGCAGATATGGGACCTGTCAGTTTGTTCAGTTAAAAAGCTACCTCATTAGCTGCATTACACTCCATAAGGATCCGCTGCTAAAGCAGTGGTGAAGCAAGGCTAAATAGCGAAATATAACACCGCTTAAATAACTTAAACCTTGCCATATGCGGATTATCATTATGCAAATGGATCGTAGAAAGGTTGTGTAAAAAATGGCTAGATACTGATTAGTGTAAAGCACGTTTCTACAAACAACTCCTTCTAGAAGGGCTAGGGCAGAATTTCTGTTTTAAAACATATTCAAGTTGGTGTTTTCCATCTGTGCTCTCAAAAATGTATAATCCTCCACTTTCTTGAAGTAAACACTGTTGATTTTGCGGTGATTTTCGGAGCATTTGATTTCATCGTCTTGATGTATTTATTTGAATGCCTAAGCCTTTTCCTGGTTTCTCTCATTGGCTAAATTGAGATAACTTAATCTGGAGTGCTGTCAGCTATTGGTCTCTAGCACTGAATTCAAATGGACAGGTTTTAAACACTATAATTAGCGTGACAACAATTATGCCGATTTTAGAGATAGTAAGTGATCTTACTACTTACTGAATGGCAGACCTGCACGCGTATGAACCCGTTTACATACATTCTCGCTGGAATTAGACCCACCTTAATTGATTTGTTTGCAGTGCAAAAGAATAGCTGGGAGTTAGCGTGCCCAGCCCCCGTAGCATCCAGAATAGGAGCCGCGCAAATCAAACGGCATCGCGCTCAGAACATGCCACTTCGCTCGGTGGATGGTTGCATACACATAAAGAAGGCAAGACTGACAGCTTTTGTTCTGCATTTTAGATTTCCTCAAAACCATACACTAGCAGGCACATCAATGCCATCAGTGTTTGAGATATTAAAACTGTGGGCTGTCCCATTTCATTTTATGTTTCATAAATTCATGTGGCTGCTTTGTAGAAATCAAGACTTTTTATCACTGTCAATTTTCATTTGTATTATCTGCATTGTTAGCATAAAAATACACTTTCAGTTTATTCTATCAAATGAATGAATTTCACAGATGCCTCCAAATATAATATGAAGCATAACAAATTATTGGTACCCTCTGGTAGCTAGACAATAAAAAAGAAAGGAAGTAGTGTATTAAGTCTACCCATTCTATATTTTTATTGCCCCCTTGAGCTAAAGACTTTGCGTGTGCCTGGTTTAAATTCAGTCCTTGTGACAAACTGCTTTTCCTGGTGTCTGCTAACTACCATCATATTAACCTTTCCATTAGTGCTTGCTTAGAGATTGTAGCACAGTTCTTTCTGAACATCCTAAATCTGCCACATTTGATTACAGCATATCAGTAAAGTGCACAATGATTATGATCTTATCTCTTATTACCCCCTTGCTTGACAACAACTCGCATGTCAAGTTTACTGACAGAAATGTGTAAAAATTGGTAAGTGTCCACAGCCCCGTTTTCCCATTGTGTGAAGGCAAAAAGAAAAATCTCGCTATTAATGCAGTGTCTTAAGAAAAATTTGCATAACTTCAATTAGACTTTCAATTAAAAAAAAAAAGAAAAAAAACAGCAAGTTACAGGGTCTTGTAAAAATGATTCTGCGGTTTCCATTGTGAATAGGTATTTGTAAAGCAAAGCATAGGAGAGTAAAGTCAGGGACCAGTGAGTGACCAGAGCAAAAAGCAAGAGGGTATTTTTTCTATAGATGATTTAGAAATTTTGTATAATAAGTGCTGGAACCTGCATTTGAATTTCAGCCTAGAAAGAATTTTGTCTTTTTTACATAAAAATTTTAGATAGTCAGAAATGTCTTTTAACATGGAGTATCTGTTATGACTAGCATTTTTTATATCTTTTCCATTTCTACCTCCCAATTATTTGAGCAGTTTATATGGACTAAATTTTTAAATATAATTTGGGTTAAGTATATCTGAAACAATTTTCAAAAAAAAAAAAGACCTTTGATCATGCCAAATTCCAGAAGAATATGCCCTTTCTGAAGAGAGAAATTCTTCTTGTCACAGACAAGGGAAAAATGCTTCCAAGACTCAAACCTATTTTTTTTTCTGACAAGGGAAACTTTATTCAAAGGAATTTTTATATTCTATTTTGTGCTTCACCTTAACAAGTGTTATTTTTCCATTGTACTTTGTTGAAACCTGAGAGATTTTTGTATAAATCAGTCATGGTATTTGATGACCATTATGTCCTTCATTTATCTCCTGACCGATGCTTATCTGTAATAATCAGAAGCAGAACATTATTTTTAATGCAGTCTCTTCCTGGAGTTCATCAATCAGTGCTTTCTCTTACTTACTTGGGAATATTGTGTTCTACAACATTTTAAAAGTATTAAATAAATAATATGACCTCCCTGCCTCATCCTAATTGTATGCTGCAGTCACCCCAGTAATACATAATTGTCACTGGTTTTATCCCAAGGTAAATAACAGATTTTGTTCCCCCGTGAAGTATAGAATGGTTTTCAGTAAACCAAATGATAGAGTTTAGTAATTCCACAGCTGCACCTTCAAAATGCAGCATAAAAGTAAGGAAAAGACATATTATGGAAAAGTTAAAGCCTCCTCAACATTAAGATTGCATGTCTTCCACTATATAAACTCTATTTTACTCTGTTATTTCCACTAAATTTAGTATAGAAAATGATTTTGACTAAAAATGGTCAATTTATTTCTCATAATTAAAAAAATAGTAATTTCAATTGCTTTATCTTCATTTTAAGGCCTTGCACAATCAGTCACAGCCTTCAAATTTCTGTTTTGAAATTTCCACTTTCATTAAAAAAGTCTTTCTTTCCTCTAAATGCCTTAAGACTACTGTTACACATTTACTGTATATTTAAATCTTCCTGAAAACACATGTGCACTGCATTTTACTGTATACTTTATTTCATCTTTTACCATCATTCTTCAATAACCTTTTCCTCAGGGTCCTCTTCCTCTCCTTTAAGTACATCCTGGTTCTCACTTATGCTGAAGAAATCATCTTGATCACATTATTTTCTTGCAGTATAACTTCCTCATTTTCCTTTTTTTAAAACTAATGTAAATACACTGCATAAATGTCTTTAAGCTCTTCAGTGTCCTTCCCTGTTCTGCTCACCTGAAAAAATGTTTAATCAAGTTACTAATAACCACTTCATACTTAGCAAAAACTAAAAGTTTTTCTCTTGGTTTCCTTGATATTCATGATGCTTTGTTGCCTTTTTTGTTTCATGGTTCTCTTACTATCAAGGTTTTAAATACTTCAGAATTTAGGTGACCTTCAGAAACCTACATGTTACCAGTTGGAGGGATGTAATTTTCCATCTATTCCCTATTCTATAGCTTGCTGGATACCAGCTGATCCCCTCTATTCACATATCTCCTCATAAAAATATGTTTCAAAAAAGGAGAACAATTGAACAATTTCTTTCCCTTTTTTCTTTTTTTTTTTCCCCTCTGGCATCTTTAAGGCACTCCTCACCTTTTCAGGATAGGCTAAGATGGCCTTTTTCACTCTTCACAGTCCTCTGAGAGGTTCAAGGTTCTCCCCTTTCTTCTCTCCTGGAAGAAGTTGTCTTCTATAAAATCCTTTATTAACAGTTTGAACATCAGAAAGATAGAAATAATGCAAATGAGAGGATGGTGACTATATATGGAAATTAATAAATATGAGAGGATGTTAAGAAGAGGCAGTTAAATGGATCAATAAATGAGGATAAATTATTTTAGCATGTGAACAAAAGCGTATTAATCAATGGGCTCATCAGGCTACTAGAGACTTGGGAGGGATATCAAAGGGAAGCTGAGAATGTTGCAGAAAAGCTAGATAATTCTCTCTTAAATAGATATTGATACATATACAGTGCAGGCCTATTCTCTATCAATAATAAAGCTTGAAGTGCTGTCAGTGACTTGATGAACAGGATTAATGAAAGGCAGCAAGTAACCAGGACTGAATGGTATGCAGATTTGAGTTCTTGAAGTGTTTAGCCGAGCTGCTGATGAAAAATAAGCAATCTCATGTTAAAACCAGCAGCTACCATCAGAATTGCATATGCTATACCTAAGTATAAAAATAACACTGCATATAGGTTTTGGAAGACAGAAATCAATTTATGAATAATATAAATTAATTGTAACAACTCTGGTAAGTGACTTGAAACCACTCTGAACAGCTTTATAAATGAACTGTATTCATTATGTAATTGTGTTAAAAATGAATTGGGATATGTAATGAACAGGCCACTAAATAATGCAAAAAGTGTTATTATGCTTGCATACATTCAGCAATAGACCCACACCCAATCTGCTGTCCCTCATTACAGTGGTTCATAGGTAGGAGCAAACTGGACAGAATTTTACGATATAGTTTAGCAAGGATATGAATAAAATGGGCATAATAAGTACCAGATAGAAAAATATGAGTCTTTCTTGCTTTTCTAACTGTTAAGAAAATAAAAAAAAGTATAAAAGATATAAAGAAATATGATTACATGTAAAACAGTTAATTGGTGGAACTCACTGATGAGATAAATTGAGGACAAAAGCTTACCACATAGCATTGTAAAGGGATTGGATGCTTATAGGGATAACAAGAATAATCGTAATTACACCAGATTAAAAAATAAATAATGGAAGGATAATATTCTAATGGCAGATCTTGCTGTTATTTGGTCTCTTGTACCTAAATAAAACAACTCACACTGGCTGCTGCCTGACACTGGGTGTATAAGAGGTATGCCAATTGGTCGGATCCTATCTACATGCTCCGTATCGTACAGAAGTTCCCTTCAACCAGAGATTCCTGAAATTTTTGCAGCTTAGCCTTATTTCAGAAAGATGGGCCCACTGGATATGGCTTTCCCCCTTTCCTTCCCTTCATGTCAGCTGTGCAAAGCGAGAGCTGGCAGGCAGAGAGTCTCCATGCGAGCTCCACCCCTCCTTGGCAGGTGCTGCCACTCTGCAGCACACGCTGAGCTTCCTCGTTGAGATCCACTGCTATAAGGAAATTAGAGAAACAGTGTTTCTAACCCCACTGAAATTAGAGGGATTATAGTGCTATAAAACCTGCTAAACTGGGATGAAAATCGTGCTTACAGTTTATCTAAAGTATTCTCTTACTGATTTTATTTTTAATTTTATGATAGGTAAGGTTAGAATCCAGTCAGCAGCAAAGAAACCCACTAATTGCTAATTAGGAAATGCTCAGCAATTCCTTTGTTAAGGCTTGCAGTTTTGCAGCAGTTGGAATAGCTGAACTATCATTTCCAAGATTTAAAAACAATGGCCTCCTAGTGCTACATAAACATATAGGGGATCTTATTCTACTGACAATAAATTCTATTCTACACCTCACCATAAAACGATAAATCTTTGATCTGCTAATAAACTCTTAATCTTTCACTGCTGCAGTATGCCAGTTACAAGGATTTTCTTTCTCTCTATTAATAGACTGACGACATTAAAGAGATAGCCCGGAAGACACAAGCCCTGCCAAAGGTGAACCCTAAAAGGCAACGAATTGTAGTCTTTACCCAGGGGAAAGATGACACTATAATGGCTACAGGTATATTTTTCAAATCTCTGTTCTCACTCACAGGAAATATTCTTGTTAATCAATTGCGAGTTGTGGTTTTACAAATTATAGTTTTTAAATGGTAGTCAGAGCATTTGCCTTCTGATGTTAGTCAGTGCTTCTCATCTCTGTTCTGCTTTTAACTCTTTTAA